AATACTGAATTTGGACACTACTCGGATCACACTGTTTTTTTACATACAGTACTATATAGTATGGAACTGCGTACGTGTATACTACTTCCTACTTTTACAATAACTTTCTAAGACTGTGACATAAATAGGAGTAGTATGCTAGTATGCAATTCTAAATTCATCATCTGTCTTAAAGTTGAGCTGTGTCCGAAAATCTCACACTCTTCTGAATAAGTAGTTACTTTCCGACGGCTAAGAAAGTATGTTCTGAATATGTAGTATGAATGTAATCCAGATGTACTACATTCACCATGTTGTCATTGTCATGTAATCTACCAGCATCAGTTGTGTTGCCTCACTGCCATTCATAAATCCTCTCCCATGGACTCATGGTATGCATAGTCAGCCCGTTCTCATCCCAAGGCATCATATACTGACGCTTTTACCAATGCATATACATCCAACGCACATGGCACCCTTTAGCGTCAATGTGAGACGCAGATATATATGGGCCAGAAGGCGCCTCCTAGTGGTCTTACCCTAACCCTACCCCAGACCTAAACCTACCCATAACCGAACCGTGTTATATTGACGCTAAAGGGTGCCATGTGCGTTGGATGTATATGCATTAGCATAATTATGTTAAGCCTTTCGATGTTTTTACCTTATTTATTTATGCGCAACCCACTAATATGCTAACTGATGTGGGCGGAGTCAGTTAAGGGAGGCAGTAGCTGGCCTTTAAAATCCCAGGAAGTGTGCCTTTTGCCCTCTTTGAGCTTTGTCTTTAAGGGTATTTCAGTTTGTCTGTGCCCTTATTTATTTATTTTTTACTTTATATTATGAGCCCAATATAGGCAGAGGTGTTCTTGCTAATAAAAACTATCACCAATCCTGTTTTGATTCTCTCCACCTGAGAATACTAAGATGTTTAAAGCCACAGTCGGTATCAGATGGTAACACTGCACACACACATTTAGTGTATACCTTGGTACTACTAGATTATCATATTCATATAACATGGTACATTGCACTCTGTGGAAAAACTGTGGCACATTTTAAATTGTATATGTACACACAATTTACATACATAACTGATAGATTTCTTTGGAAGAAATTAAAATTGTTATTTTGCAAGGATTCATTGATTTCAAATAGATGTTGTTCTTTTGAACTTTCTATTTATTAGGGAACATACAAGGAAATGTATCACTGTTTCAACAATTTTTTTTTTAGCACAACTCTTTTCAACACTCGTAATACAAAAAATAATAATTTTTTGAGCAGCAAATCATTGTATTAGAATGATTTCTGAAGGATCATGTGACTGAACCATTTAGCCAGTGGTCACCAGTATGACCATATTAGCCTGGTTCTGTCAACACTGCATTGGCTGCCTATTAAACATCGTAGTATAAATTTTTAAATATTGCTGATTACTTATAAAGCACTAAATGGTTTAGCTCCGCAGTACTTGAGCGAGCTCTTATCGCATTATAGTCCTTCACGTCTATTGCGAACTCAAAACTCCAGCCAGTTGATAATATCTAGAATATCAAAATCAACAGCTGGTGGTAGATCCTTTTCCTTTTTAGCACCAAAACTCTGGAACAATCTTCCTAACATTGTCCGGGAAGCAGACACACTCGGTCAGTTCAAAACACATCTCTTTGGCCTAGCATAACACACTATAGACTTCCTAAATTCAAAAATAGGCTGCATAGTTTAGATCAGCCGGAACCGGGAACACGTCCCGTAAATCCTGATATACTTGGTACATCAAAAGAAAAGAACGATGGCGTCTACGCTAATATTAGCTTCTTTGTTTATCCCGAGAGACCCTCTATGGTGGACCTGCGCCTGGACCCATCCCAACTCATCCTTAAAGGGTTAGTTCACCCAAAAATGAAAATTCTGTCAGTATTTACTCACCCTCATGTTGTTCCAACCCCGTAAGACCTTCGTTCATCTTCGGAACACAAATTAAGATATTTAAGATATTAAGATCGCTCCTGGATACAGTCCATAGGCTTCTTGAGGGACTGGCTCTTGCTGTCCTCGAAAAGTCATTAAAGACATCGTTAAAATAGTCCAAGTGACTACAGGGGCTCAATCTTAAGTTTATCAAACGACGAGAACACTTTTGTGCGTAAAAAAACAACAAAAATAACGACTTTATTTCAACTATTCGTTTATTTCTCCCTCTGCGCGAGTCAGGTTACTAGTTTAATAGCGTAAGCTTCTGTTATTGTACGTCACACGCATCACACACACATGACCAGCGTCGGCCAATAGTGAGCCTACGTGTGACGTAGCTCTACGCAATCACACTACGTTAACTGACTTACAGGCTCATGGAGAAGGAAGTGAATAGTTGAAATAAAGTCGTTATTTTTGTTGTTTTTTTGCGCACAAAAGTGTTCTCGTCGTTTGATAAACTTAAGATTGAGCCCCTGTAGTCACTTGGACTATTTTAACGATGTCTTTAATGACTTTTCGGGGACAGCAAGAGGCAGTCCCTCAAGAAGCCTATGGACTGTATGCAGGAGCGATCTTAATATCTTAAATATCTTAATTTGTGTTCCGAAGATGAACGAAGGTCTTACGGGGTTGGAACAACATGAGGGTGAGTAAATACTGACAGAATTTTCATTTTTGGGTGAACTATCCCTTTAAGTGCCGGCCTCATCGACACGACAGTCATCGGCACTAATCCTCAACAACTCGTCTCCAAACCGGCGTGATTACTCCGACTTCCAAACAGATGGAAATGGACAAATACTCTTAATGTTTCAATCCAATTTGACTTGTAATGCTGCCCGAATCACCCACTGTTCCTTCGTTGGCCAGAGGAGAACTGGCCCCCAACTGAGCCTGGTTTCTTCCAAGGTTTTTTTTCTCCGTTCTGTCCCTGATGGAGTTTTGGTTCCTTGCCACTGTTGCCTTGGTTTTTGGCTTGCTTAGTTGGGGACATTTAACATTCAACAATATTATTGATCTGTGTTGTATTATTTTCATGTTATCACTGTGAAGCTGCTTTGATACAATCTGTATTAAAGCGCTTTATAAATAAAGGTGACTTGACTTGACTGAAGACTGGAGTAATGATGCTGAAAATACAGCTTTGATCACAGGAATAAATTACATTTTTAAATTATATATTTAACTAGAAAACAATATTTTTTACAATTTCACAGTTTTACAGCCGCATAAAAGACTTCTTTCAAAAACATTACCAAAACTTTCTGACTTACATACAGCTTTTTTACTGTTTAGTCACTCTAACTTGACTTCCTGTTAATCATTGTAGTGATTCCCATGGTAAAGTGTGATATGATCTATCATCTGTATGAACACATTTGACTTGAGCATAAAAAAATTATCCTACCCTGGGTACAGGTGTGCAAAATCATATATACCACCCACTCTGTGCTTTGGGAGGATGTAATTCTGTCTCTTTGTCCAACCTGGTGAGGAAAAATAGTTTCTAAATGCACTTCAAGAACAAGAGTTAAAGTTTTAACCAAATTATATTTACTTATAAATGGGGAAAAAGCAACAGAACTTCATGGGAGAATTTCAACATAATTAAACTGACCTAATAACAGAAAAAGCAAACAAAACAGAAAATCAACCTAACCAAAACCAAGAGAAAACACGCACAAAGGTTTACCAGGATAGTTTGAAACAATTTAAAAGACATCTAACACAAAACCACCAGCCCACCCAGCTCTGATCTTCACTCACTGTGGACCCTTTTCTCTTCATAAGCCATTGTGGTTGTCCTGTTTATCAAGATGTCGTTGTAACCACTTCCTGCCAATATACTTGTGAGATCAAATGGATGAAGTTTAGGTGTAGTCCATCTTTAAAAACGTTTGATTTGCTTTTATTTTGCCAAGTTCATTATGAGCTCAGATCTTGAAGATTTTGAGGTGTGTCAGTTTTGCATTCACAAATGTGTAAAGCTGTTGTACAGATTTGATTAGCAGAAGTAGTTGTTTAAATGCTGACTGCAGCTTTAATCGTCCACAGTGTCTTTATCTCAATGGCTAATGAGCTCATATCATTCAGGACATCACTGCATCCGCTGTTTCTTTTAAGAAGTACAGCAGTGGTCAAACCAGCGGAAATCAATCAGTCTGCATCACAGGTGCATCAGAGAAGACAGCAGCGCTGAAGGGCTCAGACCACAGCAGCTCACTTAATTAACACGCAAAGTCAGCAGGAGAATGTTAGCAAAGAGACAGGAGAATATAATGTCTTTAACGAAATGCCCAGCATGCGTTTAGATGTTCAATAGTCATTGAAAAGGTCAACATTAAAGTGCTTCTTGCTTTTTGCCTTTTACATAGTGACTAATTGCTGTCACAAACATAGCCTAATAACTGAAATGAGTCTTTAGTAATTCCAGTTTTACTTCCTGTTTGAACTTGTGTAGGTTTGTAACAAATTTTGCATAATGCCAGCTTATGTTGTTCACTGGCTGCCAGCGAACTACGTCTACTTTTATACGTCCTAGTTTTAGTATGGTTTGTGTTGTGGACGAATGATTTCTGCAATGTGGAAGTGGAACTTTGCATGCACTTCCAAAAGGATGAGGACTCATCCTCATAGTACTCAGGATTTATATGTTAAAAACAATCAGAGCAGAGTAGACCAATCACAACAGACTGGGCCATCTGACCAATCAGAGCAGAGTAGACCAATCACAACAGACTGGAGTATCTGACCAATCAGAGCAGAGTTGACCAATCACATACGACTGGATGATCTGACCAATCAGAGCAAAGTACACTCTAAAAAATGCTGGGTTGTTTTAACCCAATTTTGGGTCAAATATGGACAAACCCAAAATGTTGGGTTAAAAATGTAATGTAAAAATTTAACCCAACGGCTGGGTTAGTCCATATTTGACCCAAAGTTGGGTTAAAACAACCCAGCATTTTTTAGAGTGTAGGCTCTCAGAAAGGATGGGTTTAGAGATTCTATCAAGAATGAGCAGAAAATTGTTCATCATGTTGATGTTATTTGTTTTTCATCCTGATGTTTAGAATTTTCTTTTTTAGTTATTTAATTTTGTCAAACTAGTCACATATATAGAGTTTACACAGCAATGAGTATGGAGTATTAGGTTAAGGTCCATTTTGAGAATATTGAGAACAATTAAAATGTGTCGTTGGAAAATGTTACAACAATGATCTTCTACAGTTACTGCAGATTACCAGAAGATAGAAGAGAAGGGGGGAGATCACACCTTGGGGCACACAGATACAAGTCCAGGAAGTAATGACTGTTGGTGTGTTTTAATGTGAGCGGGTGTTTCAGCGCTTTTGTTAGTTTGCATTTGTAATCAAATGCTTAGAAATGGAGTTTTCCTGCCCTGTCATCTTTGCTCTCATGTTTTCCCACATTTGCTTCACATCAGGTAAGAGCCTCATCAGTCTAAACAGTTATTCAAATCCTTGTGTCTTTTTTTTTGTTATCTTGTAGTTAAGGACATTTGGAGATGCGTATACATCTCATTGTATGCTTCTCTAGATGTCCCTGTACAGCCTACAGGTTTTATACATATCAAATGTACAGTATAAATATTGTCACATACATATTTCCTCATTTGTCAGCTTTTTTGGATAAAAGTGTCTGCTAAATTAGAAAATGTGGTAACACTTTAAAATAATGGTCAGTAGTTAACAAGTTATGCAGGAAGTAATAGGTAGTACTGCATTAACACCGAAGTTAATACTATTAACTAATATGGAAGCAATATTAACTAATCATTAAGTAATAGGTAATTTAGTACAAAGGTAGTTCCTTGGTAGGTATTTGATTGTTACTAAAGAAATATATCCTCATTGAGAACTACTTGTGAACTAAGAAATAATAACCAATTAATTACTAATCACAAAAGTAACATGTCTAAAAAGTGAACAATTGTGGGGGTTTTGCTCTTAACATGGTCATAACATTTCAGAAGCATGTGCCTCAAATGGGTTCTTTGTGGAAACCAGTTTATGAAGTTTATACATCCCCCCAAATACATTAGCTGAGATTGTGACCACTACTCTTGCCAGGATGGACGCATGTTCTCTGTTTATTTAAAACTTAAACATAAAATAATCCTAATAAAGACAGTTTTTAAAAATAAACCTTAAATAATTAGGAAGTGATGCTGACACTGATTGGATTAGTTCACTATTATGAGCTCTATTGAATGTCAGTCACATATATCTCAGACTCCAAAGACCTATAACTTTATGTTACAGTAGCTGCCTGAGGAGGACTTCTCTTATGACATGAATATAAACATTGATGTTCACTTGTCAAAAACAATTTGTATCTTTAATGAAGAAATTGGCTGCATTTATGTTACGATAAGCGCAAAAACACATCTTCCAGATTACAGTGTTTGTTAGAATATTAGTGCCTCACAGAACCTGTACAGTATGTGTCAAATATAAAATTAAATTACTTGTATCATTTGTGAAAAACATGTTAACTCCTCAATAACTACTTAAGCATTACCTTGTCATCCCCCAGGAACTACTAGTGATGTGGCCCATTATTTTAAAGTGAAAAACATGTTAACTCCTAACTAACTACAAGCGTTACCTTGTCATCCTGCAATGTTTACACAAGGTAACGCTTATAGTTAGTTAGGAGTTAACATGTTTTTCACTTTCTAATCCAAGCGTTACCTTGTCATCCCGCAATGTTTACACAAGGTAACGCTTGTAGTTAGTTAGGAGTTAACATGTTTTTCACTTTAAAATAATGGGCCACATCACTAGTAGTTCCTGGGGGATGACAAGGTAATGCTTGAGGAGTTAACATGTTTTTCACAAATGATACAAGTAATTTAATTTTATATTTGACACATACTGTACAGGTTATGTAAGGCACTAATATTCTAACAAACACTGTAATCTGGAAGATGTGTTTTTGCGCTTATCGTAACATAAATGCAGCCAATTTCTTCTTTAAAGATACAAATTGTTTTTGACAAGTGAACATCAATGTTTATATTCATGTCATAAGAGAAGTCCTCCTCAGGCAGCTACTGGAACATAAAGTTATAGGTCTTTGGAGTCTGAGATATATGTGACTGACATTCAATAGAGCTCATAATAGTGAACTAATCCAATCATGAGAGTGTCAGCATCACTTCCTAATTATTTAAGGTTTATTTTTAAAAACTGTCTTTATTAGGATTATTTTATGTTTAAGTTTTAAATAAACAGAGAACATGCGTCCATCCTGGCAAGAGTAGTGGTCACAATCTCAACCTAGCTAATGTATTTGGGGGGATGTATAAACTTCATAAAATGGTTTCCACAAAGAACCCATTTGAGGCACATGCTTCTGAAATGTTATGACCACGTTAAGAGTAAAACCCCCACAATTGTTCACTTTTTAGACATGTTACTTTTGTGATTAGTAATTAATTGGTTATTATTTCTTAGTTCACAAGTAGTTCTCAATGAGGATATATTTCTTTAGTAACAATTAAATACCTATCAAGGAACTACCTTTGTACTAAATTACCTATTACTTAATGATTAGTTACATTGCTTCCATATTAGTTAATAGTATTAAGTTCGGTGTTAATGCAGTACTACCTATTACTTCCTGCATAGCTACTTGTTAACTACTGACCATTATTTTAAAGTGTTACCGAAAATGTTTATGGCTTGTTTATCATTTGTTATTCAGGTTCAAGTGAGGAGCTGACTGTGAATCAGAGCCCATCTAACATCACTGTGAATGAGGGAGATTCTGCTCAAATCTCCTGCTGCTGGAAGACAAAACAGAAAAGTGTTAAAGTTGTTTGGTACATCAATGAGATCAAACTTTCAGGAGTAAAGGATCAAACACAGAACTGTTCAACGCTCCACCTCACAAACATACTTAAAAATCAAACAGGTCATTATGTTTGTGGAGTGATTCAAGACATTCCATTCCTGCTTAAGGTAAAAGGAAATGGAACAGATCTATCTGTCGGGGTCAGACAACTACAAAAGACAACGACTGGTAAGATTCTTCTGTCACGATATTGTCCTACAAATTCCAATACTATTACAAGACTATAGAGGTATACAGTTACAGTTGTGCTTAAAAGTTGACATACACTTCGCAGAATCTGCGAAACTGTTCATTTTAATAAAATAAGACGGATCATAAAAATGGCATGTTGTGTCTTTTTAGTACTGTTCTGAATAAGCTTTTTTACATAACAGATGTTAATACACAGTCCACAAGACTAAATAATATCTGAATTAAAAGAATTACCCTGTTAAAAAAAGTTTCCATACATGCAACAGTCAGGAAGTGTCTTCTGTAGCTTACTAAATGAAAAATAACATGCCATTTTTATGATCCCTTTTATTTTGTTAAAATGATTAACATTTGTACAGATTCTGCAAGGGGGGTGTAAACTTTTGAGCACAACAATATTCATTATTATTTAAATCCCCTGCTGCTAATAAAACTAGCCTGGAAAGAATTTTAGCACAAAACTGATCTATGCTAAACAATAATCCTCAAATAAAAATAATGAGTGTAGTTATGTATAAAAAGTGATTCCGGAAATACAATACCATTCTTTGGAATAAATCATGATTCGAATTCATTCAACAACTGAGATTGTATCAAACAAATTTCAACCAAGTTACAATAGCGTTGCAGTTAAAAGACCACCATTTTGGAAGACATGCATTACTTCCTGCTGCGTCAGTTAAGCAATATCAGATTTATGGACTGTTGCATAATGAAAATGATTTAATTCTTCTGCTCTTTTACAGACACTGTTCATAGCTCCACCAGACTCCCAGCAGCCAGTGAGGATCTCGTAACAGCAGGCAATAACATGATTCTTTTTCTGTGGGGCAGCAGATGTTGTCTGTTTGTGTGGAGTCATGGGTCACACAGGGGATCTGGTTTTGAGTCAGGGTGTGACTGTCTCCTCAATGGTCTCCTGTCACTCTCAGGTCCTGTTTACACCTGGTATTACAGCCCGTTCTCATCCCAAGGCGTCATATACTGACGCTTTTGCCAATGCGGATACATACAACGCACATGGCACCCTTTAGTGTCAATATGAGACGCAGATATATATGGGCCAGAACGCGCCTCCTAGTGGTCTATCCCTAACTCTACCCCAGATCTAAACCTACCCATAACCGAAGCGTGTTATTATATTGACGCTAAAGGGTGCCATGTGCGTTAGATGTTGGCAAAAGCGTCAGAATATGACGCCTTGCGATGTGGTATTAAGATCTGTTTTGGTCTCTCGGGTCACAAATTGATGACGCTAAATACAGGTGTAAACGGTGTTGTCTCTTTCTAATAAAGATAATAAATAATAAATTAACAATATTTTTTACATTTATAATGCATTCTTAAAATAGAAGGCTAAATGTCAAGTGTCAGAATTAATTATCTTTAAATAATATTTTATAAGATTTTGGAAATACATCCAAAAGATGCAAACTATGATTTTGGATCCTCTCAGAATAAAGTGTAAGATGTTATGTGAATACTGATTAAAATATATATATATATACATACAGTATATGTATATATATACTGTATATATATACACATATACACATTAGACAAAAAATATAAATATACAGTTATTTTATTACTAAAAATATGAATATGAAAAAAAAAATTAAAATTTATTTATCTTTTTAAATGAATTTCTTTTTTTCTTTTCTTCAGGTTTACTTACTTTTCTTATGTAGTTGTAGTTTTGTAGAGTTCCCTCAAAAATCCACTGTTAAAAAGATCTTTTTTTTTCTCACAGGTAGTTCACGTAAGGTTGTTATAATATACATACTCAGAACTCTGCCCTTTGTCTGTCTGCTGATGGCGTTCTTTTACCTAAACAGGGACCACAAACCAGCAACCGTGTCAAAACCAGGTAACTGTTCAACATATCAGCACAAAATTCACAACGTAGTTTAGTTGTTTGTTTAGCCTTTAACCAAACAAACCAAAAATGAAGAATCGCAACATTGAAACATTTGATTTGAGTCAGATATGTATTTGAAAACTGGAATTTGACTAAATGCTTAACATTTAGATTAATGAAATGCATAATCTACAGTTTCAAGGATAACAATATTCCCAGATGGTGCAAGAATAACGCACAAATGATTAAAAATAAAATGATTGGCTGTGGAGCATACTGCAAGCCATTTGATTACCAAAGCCTTACCACGCAACGTCCCCCACAAATTAGCCCTGTTATTTAGTGGCACTTTGCCTTATATTCCATGCATTATCATAGAATCATTATCATTAATAGAGACGTTCGCAAAGACCCACCTTTTTTAGGTACAATGTGACGAGCCACGAGCCAGGCGGCTCTCACGAGTCACGCACATCATGTTCTCATGCACTCATGCAGTGAAAAATACATCACCTGCCAATCAAACCCCTGTGAAACGTCAGGTTTTAATTTGATATGACAAATAAATCGCCTTTACTCTTCACTTCATTCTAATCTAGTCTATTCTTAAAACACAGCGTCATCATCGACCCCACAAACTTTCGGTAAGTTTGAATATTAACTTGATGGATGTAAAATTTTGCTTTTTGTGTTTGATTAAACTCTATATTTGTCTAAAGGACTGGCGATAATATATCCGGTAGAAATATTTAAATTTTGCTGCGCCATCATGATGTAAGTTTATCATTTAAACGCGTTTTTAAACATTGTGGTTTGGATACAAATTATTTCAAACTGCTCAGGCACAGTGAACCCCTGCAGTAACTCATAGCCCCGGGGCCCAGTGAGCTCTTAATACAGCCCTGGCAATCGAACCACTGGCCTCACGCCATTCTCTCACGTCCATAGGCCGTCCAGTTCGCCACATTCAGATTGTACTTCCGCAGTTTTGCATCCCCACCCACGGACAGTTAGTCTGGATGCCAGCCCAAACCCTGCAGACAACATTTTTTTGGACTCGATCCATTGAGGAGTAATTGTGATCGGTTCAGTAATCGTCGGGCCAATGAAATTACCAGGGCGGGGTTTATACGATGATGGAAAGATGATCTGCGGTTGCAGTTACGTAATCATCACGTTATCAAAGAGTGCTTGTCAAAGATGACTGCAGCTGGAGAATTGACCTTTCGCCGGCCCCTCCCACAAAATGGCCATTGTCCAATCACACATCATAGCAACCGTTACTGTGCGAGCTGTTCCGTCAAACAGTAAGCGGTGCGCCCACGGCGTTAGTAAATCGGACACATGATACCCCGAGAGATTGTCTGGAGAAGTTGTGTTTTTTCCCTTTCCAAAGCCCAAAACACAACGCGAGCGGTGCCTAAGATGTATTAAACAGTGTGGACGCCCCAATTCCAGTTAAATGTGTCGAACATGGTTAACTCGTCTCGCGTGCAGCGTGCGTGCGACTGAGATTAGTCAAAGAAGCACGGAGAAAGCAGATCAAGAGGATCCACAAAGGACTTACTGTACATTTCTAAAGGGTTGTTGTTAACATACCATGATATTCTCTGGGAAAATGAGCAGCAGTCAGCTAAGTTAGCAGTGCAGCACCGTAGACTACAGTTTAGAGGACGTTCGCAACGGGGAAAGCATGAAGCTTACATGACAACATCAGTTCATATATCAATATCGTAACGAATAGAAATAACCTTAAATAACGTATGGTTCTCTGCCTCTTTCCGTCTCTTATGCATAACGTTAGTTACTTTTTAAACACGAAAATCGCATTCAGCATGAGCATGACACGCAATCGGTTGCTGTGGTAATGAACAACCTGCTTGTTAAAGCGAACGTGTACTCCTGTATCGGAGGCAAAATGAATAAATATGCAGCGCAAGTTATATATTTCGAACTCCAAACAATTAGCCACTGAACCAGTTTATAAAATCTTCAAGGCTGTGCTGGTTACATTTGAGGTAACTTAGCATGGTCATGGGGTTTTTCTGATTTTTCTTGAGACTGGTAAGCATTAGCATCAATAGTAGTCGTGTCTCATTCATTTCTTAATTTTATATTTGGAATAAATCCCTCCACCGCATACCGTAACCCCTTTTGCTTCGATCTTGCTTGATATCGCGGAGGTATTGCTCCAAAAAAGGTCACTGACACGCACGGGAATACCCTTTGCCGTCATGGCAATCTGTCGCGCTGCCCGTGTTTGACCATTTGTTTGACGGAGGTAGCAGCAGTAACTAAGGGGGGCGGGGCTCGGCGAAAGGCTAATTGAGATGTATAGATTCCACTATCGTGTCTGTTGTAAAAGAAATCGACAGTGCATCCATTTTAAAAGACGAACAGAGAACTGCAATCAAGGCATTTGTCGATCAGAAAGATGTGTTTGCCGTCCTTCCTACAGCATTCGGCAAAAGTTTAATTTATCAGTCTTCTCCGATGGTCGCTAAGATGGGATGTGGTCGTTGTGGTTTCTCCTTTGGTCGCACTCATGGAGGACCAAGTAAAAGAAGCAACACTCATTATTTTACTACTTCTTCAAACGTGTGTGCAGTTGATCTCTGTTGACAACTATGCATAACTCAACATACGTCACTTACTGCGTTGCTCTGATTGGTTATTGGTCGATCCAATTGAGTGCAGAGTTGTTGTTTTTTTCCTGGTTCGGTTAAGACACGCCTCATAATTAAAGCCCTATGGAGCGGTATCAGACACACATTCTGACTAGAATATGAGTATGATGAACTCAGGCTGACAGACAGTCTGATCGGAAGAGGGTTATTAACAGAACAGTTATATTCTCTGTTCCTCTTTTTCTAAATTAACTGATGAAATGGCAGTTTGACCTAAAACACATGTCATTTAGCCACTGCATACAACAATAAAAATATCTCATTCTTGCTAAACATTTACTCATTTATTTTTGCACCCATGAACAATTCAAGGTGGCACAGTTATGATTAAAGTCCCCGTGAAATCAAAATTGAACCTATTTACTTTGTTAGCGCATATTACTAGTCTTGTGGTGAACAATTAATCCGTGCAAGTAAAAATATATTAGAAAAATGTTTTACCTTGGTAATCTTTAATCAAAATCTGAAAAGTTACTTCCGGTCTGGAACGGTTTCTTTTTCTGATGACGTAGGTTTCACAGTTTGGGTGGGGAAACGCTTAACCACTCCCCTCAAACCGTTAGTTTGCTATGGGCGAGAGATGGAGAGGAGGAGCGCTAGAGTAAAACCCTGCCCTCTGTTCAATATTCCGTTTCACTTGGAAATACGTCACAGCACTGGAGAAAAATCGTTTGCAACTTCCGGTTCACGGGGACTTTAAGGTTACTCTGGTCAAGCGTATTCATAGCAGAATGTGTGTGGCCTTGGATGGCCTTGGAAGTTTTCTTACCTGGAGAAAGAGAAAAGACAACATCCCTCTTGTCTCTTGTCAAGTAGCACCAATATAATTACCCCCTGCTTTTCTACCACACAGCCAGACAAGTTGTATTTTGTTATTTACTTCTGTTAAGACCACTAAAACCCTTGACATAATATTCAGATTTTAAAGCCGCAGCAGTGATGCAGCCTATGAACTTGTGGTCAAAGTGACCATTTGAATAGTCATTGTCTAACAACATCTCAGACCGTTTGTTTTCATCCATGAGAACCAATGCACTTCTTTTGTATCTTGTTATGACAAATTGCGGTAAGCAAATTTAAGTTTAGGACCACAGTTAAAGTAATTAAAGTCCGCTTATATGTTACTGAGATCTTATGTATATTCACATTTCAATCCAAATGTGTAGAATCAGAAGAAGGACTGGATGAAGACCTGAAGGCCGGAGAGACACAGAGAAGTCAAACTGAACTTTCTGAACAGGAGAAAGGGAGGGACAACTCAGAAAAACCTGAAGTTACTGATGCTGCAACAGAAGAAGAAAAGAATAAAGAAAAAGAGACTGTTGTAATTGTGGACGTTGAACAAGATACATCACCATTGCATTCAGTCATTCATCACGGCAATGAAAACAAGACTGTTATGGACACATCAGAAAAGACTAATCTAATAGCTGATGTTGAAGACGTGACCGTTCCTGTGCTTGATGACATTGTTTCAGTTCTGTGAGAAAGACAGGAAATGGAGATATGGGTGTGCTGTTCAGGTCTATGATGTCACGTCCTGTATAGTAGCTTGTTTGCAGAGTCCTAATGGTTTGCAATGACTGTGACCGAATTCTTACAGATTGTATCGATATATAGCTATGTAAAAAGTTTTGTTGAACTTCATGTATGAATCTTTCTGTGTTTTTTCTGGGGTTGTGGATGGTTGCGTGTCTGAGGGAGAACGAGTGCGAGATCAGTGTTGTGGTTTGACAAAAATTAGCTGCGTGGTCGTTTGGGGGGGTAGGGGATGTTCAGAGAAAATCTGAGAGCACGAGTGTCTCGCGTGTGAACGTTTGTAATGTGGGAGTAAAGCAGAGTTCAGATTCGCAGCAGATGCTCAGAAATGAAGTGTTCCTCCAGACTCCTGTGTGGGTTCCTCATGTCATGGCTTTGTTTCCGAGGTAAGTGCCGCTCAAACACCTTCCTGAATGGAAAACCAGCACAAACTTTTCAGGATACTATTTGACATTAGTGCAAAATAAAGTAAATCAAATGTTGGTTGTGAGATGATGCTGCCTTCCTCATTCAGTTAGCTTACAATTTAATAAACACTTCTTTATAATTTATTAATGTTGCATTGTAGCTCTGTATAGAATAATTTGAATTGTATTTATTCAACTTTTTATCTGATTCGTTATATGCCTTTGATCTTTACAAATGAACTTTCATATTTTTTATGTTGATTTTAAAATGTACTTTGTGAGAGGTAGAGCTGTACAGGCATGAGGAAGAAGGAATATTTACACATTTAAATTGCAGAAACATTTTAAAAACTTACTAAGCCGCTCAGTAACATTTGCAAGGATTAAAAAACAACACATAGTCCATGTTTGGATATTTATTCAAAACAGTTCAATTCACATTTATTTGTATCATGTATGACTTTTCAAAAAGCGTCGTTTCTAAGCAGCTTTACAAAAAATGCACGTTTCTATGTTACAGTCAGTGCTGGGTAGTCCATTACTGAATAAAAACTACATAATAATTGTAGTTAGTTACATAATCGATTACATTACGCATTTTGGGCAATATAATCAGATTTGCTGATTACTTTTAGATTACTTTTGATAGAACATGTTTCTAACATAGGTTCGAATGGTATAATCTTGTAACATATTGATCAAAAAATACAAAGAGAAAGAAAATGTATTCTAATTTTATTATCAACAAAATTAAGCGCATTAAACAATATATTACGCGGGTTCATAAAGTAAAAAAGCTAATTAAATCATAAAAATGTTACGTTAAAAAATATATATGTAATTATAGTCACATGACTAATGGCTGGTCTGTGTGTGCAATCCCACAAAACCTTTGAGAAAAGAAAAAAATTAAGATAAAATAAGAATAATTCTGAATAATTTATTTCCACTTATCCGATTATTAAGTGATAATGTAATCAATAAAAAAAACCCCGTATTCTGATTATGAGTATTTTAAAATGTAATATAATCTATTTATAAGTATTTCATTTATCCAGATTACAATTAATCAGTTACTACTTGGTTACAATTAAGAGTAATCAGTTATCAGGTGACTGTGTCAAAGAAATGTCCATACTGTGGAAATGTACAGTTCTAAAATAATACATCGCAATCATAATGATTACAATGGAAAATATGGCAGATATGAGCTGATATATTTAGACCAAAATGAGTTGTATGGGTTTGTTTTATATGTTTATTGATGAATCACCAAGTAATTATGTGTCATATACTGTATTATCATATAGCGCACAATGGTATGCTAAAACCTTACAGCACACAACAGAAAAAGAAACATAAGCAAGTTCCGTGGAAATGTATTTAAGGATTTCTGTCAATGTTAGCAAAAAGCAAAAAGATGAGTAAGGTACTTTTATTGGTTTCATAATTATCACCCATTATGTAAGACATAATAAAAAAATATATATGTTGTACATGTTAATTTCTCTTTTCCACTTTTTTTTACATTTTTAGATATGAAGTTATACTTTTTTATGGTTCCTGTTTCATAAGGTTAAAAGTATTTATTGATAACAGATTCAAGTCTGAGTAATGGAGAAGTCCCTAAAGATACAAACTACAACATCAAGAACAACAGCCTTAAACATTCATGTATTTCTCGTTTGTTGTTGTTTCTCAGTCACAGGTTCAAGTGAGGAGCTGACTGTGAATCAGAGCCCATCTAACATCACTGTGAATGAGGGAGATTCTGCTCAAATCTCCTGCTGCTGGAAGACAAAAGACAATTCTAGTGTTAAAGTTGCTTGGTACATCAATGAGATCAAACTTTCAGGAGTAAAGACACAGAACTGTTCAACGCTCCACCTCACAAACATACTTAAAAATCAAACAGGTCATTATGTTTGTGAAGTGACTCAAGACATTCCAGTCCTGCTTAAGGTAAATGGAACTGGAACAGATCTATCTGTCAGGGTCAGACAACTACAAAACACAACGACTGGTAAGATCTTACCATCACAATCTAATTTATTCTACACATTACAATACAGTTAAAAGACTAGAAGACAACCATTATTAAACTCATGCAATTTGTATCTAATTCAATCATTTCTTCTGTTGAAGGTCCTGCCTCACCTCAAACAACCCAGACTACAGAGCATAAAACCACAATCCTACCAACAGATCCCATCCTGCCACTGTCTCTGGCCGCTGCCATCATCCTGGTGACCCTCTGCTTGACCTTCACTCTCTGCAAGATGAAGAACTCATGTAAAACATCAGGTACACTTCATTTTAATACTGAGACTCACTTACAGTCTTGGAAGAAAGGCTCTATATACTGTAGAACTGAGAAGGATTCAGTCAGGTGCTTGATATATGAGGGGTTCATTATAGGGTCATTTTGTGATTTGTTTTTTTTATTATTATTTTATTGTTATTTTGCATTCCTTTATCGTCTGCTGCATGTGATTTGACTGGACTTTTTCCTGCAAAGATATTAAAACTTTATTAGGAAATAATATTTTTTTGACGCCACTTATACCCAGTCCAATACTGAACTCACAACCAGTGTCCATTTATTATTCATTTAAAGGAAGGATCGGACATTTTCTTCAGCTGACTAAACAACAGCACGCTGTCATGCAAAAATCCAGACACTCTCACTGACCAACTGAGCAGTGTATGATGCAAGTGCATGTAATGTGAAAAGTAATAGCCTATGTCAGAAAGTTGCTGTGTGAGCAGGTGTTTTGTGTCAAAGCTTGTCAGAGTTTGTAACTGTGTTGCCCCTCCGCACAGGAAGTGCAACTGTTGAGCTTATTCAAACACACATATATACAAATAAATGTTACATTGTTCTCATGTACAATGTAAAATAGTAGCAAGGAAAATAATGTTGAAAGCAACAAAATAATAATCACAATAACCATTCTCAATTCTATCATTTGGCTAATATTATAAAATAAAAACGGTGGAAGTCAATACCCACAACTGGGTGAGTAAATGATGACAATTTTCATTTTTGGGTGAACTATCCCTTTAAAACCTGAAAAAAAAAGAAAAGAAAAGAAAAACACTAACCGTAAAAGAAATGACAAAAACACACCACAAAATTACTAAAACTTTAAGTATACACATTTAATGTAAAATACAAAAAGCACAACTAATTGAGGATATCTTCCCTCAGATCGAGTGGTGATCCGCCAGACGCCACACAGTGAGGGTGAGGAGCATGAGCACATGGAGGAAGAGGACGGCAGCACAGGCTCCTCTCGAGGATCTCTCCAGTGGGTAAGTGAGATGCCGCCTCATAAGAAGTCAAAACTTGTATACAGTATGTTGAGTCATGAAAAATCATACAACAATAACCTAAGTTATATCTATAGTATAAAGCCTATAAAAAAAAAAAAAAACGGTAACACTTTATTTTACGACCCGCAAACAATTGTGTAAGTACACTGAAATTACGGTGTACATTTCTGTAATTAAAGTGTACTTCCGTGTAAGGGAACAATATGTTAAGTTTTGGGTAATAAAGGGGTAACAAGCACTACTTTAATTTACAGCCCGCAGGAGTTACATTTACCCTGTAACTACGCAGAACAAGGGGGTAACAAACGCTACTTACTATGTAGCAATACAAACAACACTATTTGCACTGTAATTGCAGAGAAAGGTATACTGTTATAAAAAAACAAACAAAAAAATCGTTTTAATTACACAGTATATTTGCCCTGACATTTGAGTGTTATTGCAATTCAATGGTATAAGGTAAGTACTAAATACCACATGGTACGGTCTAAATTAAAATCATAGCAAAAACAAATTATTTTGACTTAACATTAAGTAACCTAGTAAGAAAAGCCAATAAATGTATTTTTTTTATCGTAATATATATATATATATATATATATGTGTGTGTGTGCGTGTGTGTGTGTGTGTGTGTGTGTGTTTAATTTTTAACCCACAGATGTGAAAATTATCCTGTAACATTGCACAAGAACATATTTTGCCAGAAATGTGATACATTTTATAAACAACGGATAGGTACCTGTTATTTTTTTAACTAATTAAATAATTTGCTTGTATATCTGCTTGTTACCCCTTTATTACCCCATTGTTCCCTATACTTACACTGAAGTACACTATAACTACAGAAACGTACACCGTAATTTCAGTGTACTTACACAGTTATATGCAGGGTGTATATCTGTTTGTTACCCCTTTATTACCCCAAACTTAACATATTGTTCCCTTGTACTTACACGGAAGTACACTATAATTACAGAAACGGTGTACTTACACAGTTGTTTGCGGGTCGTAAAATAAAGTGTTACCAAAAAAACTATAAAAGGTGAAATAATCTAGTGAATTGTCATGAGAATATGTAGGTCAGTGGCTCTGTTCGTAATGGATTACTAGCGTACTACATACTGGAAAAAACTGTATTATGTAGTAAAAACACAGTGTAGTAATGTTACAGTCAATCTTTAGCACGTTACATGTACATTGGTGTCACATGACCTCATGATGTTCACTAAAGGTCATTTTATTCACAATGGACATTTTTTTTTCAAAGCAAATTATTTATTTATTTATTAAAAATACAACTTTTGTAAGGTCTTTATTTAGATGATTTACGTCTCATCATATAAATAGGGTTATTAGGCATTTTCC